GGCAAATCGGTCGGTTTTACACCTCGAAAATAGCCCAGAGCCAAAAGTCCACGACACAAGTGCGAAGCAGTTATTGGTTTCTGGTCGCGGGAATCTGCTCGTACAGTACTTCCCGTTCTCCTACATGTTTCACACTCGCGTATTGCTGCGGTTCCCTCTCCAACCTGCGCCTCTCCTGCATCGATCGCAAGGTACATGCGATCTTGCCCAACCACCACCCTGTTTATGCGCTCCCTTTCGCACACCGCTCTCCCAGGTGCAGAACATGCTCTCACCAACCCACCCAATCATTGCCTTTTCCATCTCGAGCCTCGTTCCCATCACAATAATGGCCGGCACAGAGCAGCCGAAATCCAGAGGATTTAACTATTCCTCCAATGAAGACTGCTCCATTTGAGTGCGTCTCTGCATTTAGCTCTGGCAACACCGGTGGAGTGTGTTGATGTCGGAGCTAAAATGCCAAATGTGAACAAATGCACCTGGGCATGCGCAGCAGTATTTGAATGACAAGTGTTGGAAATATTTAGCTCGTTGCTCATTTACTCTCCAACCGGTGGGGATGCTCTTACAGATATACACTACAGTATGTGCACACGTGTGCATGCCACATTACACGTTTCATGTCTGCTTTACCCCCGATCATCACGACTTACAGCATCGCTCCAACTTGAACGTTGCTGTGGCAATGGGTTGACCACTTGAACAGTTGTTTGGCACAAGACCCCGCCAAAGCCCATAAATGAAAATACCCGGTAAGATGGAAGAGTGTTCGTGGGACTGTGTGGGTGAAGAAAAGACTCGTACATCGATGCCGATTCTCCATGAGTGACTGCCTTTTCCGCTCCACTAAATTCTCAGCCCGAGACATGGGAAGCACCCGTGCCCATGTTCCGAGCAATACTCGGAGCAACCATTACTGTGCTTTCGCGCTCTGAGGAGAAGTCGGCAGTGGGAAATCGTTTTCTGTTGACGCAGAGATATAGCATGCCCAATCTCTCAATGACCACGACGTGCTATGCACCTACAATGTACTCGTACGGCAGTCTGCTCTCGCACAGCAGTCTGCGCTGTAACCTACCTCACAATAATGTACCAATCCTTCTTTGAAAGGACGGCCCGTGATATTTACTTGAACAGTGATGAATGTTTCGATCAAGTGAGGGACGCTGGGTGCAGTATAGTGTACTGTGCAACCGGCGCGCGCCCCAGAGCCTGAGCTGCGGGTCATCCCCAACGCGCAGAGGCGCTCGCGTCGTCCGGCGAGGCGGCGCCCAGCGAGCTACCGGCGCGGTATGGGTCGCAGTCTGGCATCTCCAGCGTCTGGTTGCTCATTGGTGGCGCCCTTTTGGGAGACGTCTGCGACAAGGGTTTTCTATGACCCGTACCGTCTTCTTTATGCCGCCCGAGAGAGTGGACGCGATCCCGCCGACATAACTTGATATGCCAGGCAGTCCTGCTGAGCCCTTTTCTCCGCATGGCAGCAGCGGGAGCGTTGTAATGTCGCCAAATCCTCTTCCCGCGGGGTTGCACTGCTGCCGCGGAAGTGCCCTAAGTCGATCACCACCGCTTCAACGCTCTAATTTGCCGCCTGTAGGCCGTGAGAATGCAGAGCAGCAATCACGTCCCTCCCTGGCTCCCGACTGTGCATGCAGTAAAGTTATGTACCACGCCCCCGCCACACATGACGTAAATCTGCACCTCATCCATCCATCCACCCCTTCTCTCACCACCGCTGTACCACCGCGCCGCGTCTTTCCCACGCCCCCCGCGATGACCGCGGCAGCAGTAGACACCCGCGCCGGCTCGTGCTTTGGCACCATGGGGTTTTTACTTGGTAAGACTTTTACTAAAGCCCATGATCTGGTCTTTGCTGCGAAATCCTAAAAGACCTCATAATTGGGTCTTCCGTTGAAGCGGAGTAAATTAAATAAACGTGATCTTGCTGCGCACTGCACTCAGAGGGCGTTGTTGTGTATCCCCTGCAGTACTTTAAATCACGTTCAAGTTACAGGCCGGTGGTGCTAAACTTCAAGTCGGCGCGCGTAGCTACTAATGATGTGGCGGCTCCGACACCGGCGAATTCTGTATGGCGGGAGGCAGCGCCCTAAAAGGTGGCCCCGGTTCGCGCGACTGCTGCGACAGTCCTGATCCGGACCACGTGTGGCTCACCGGGACCGTCTGCATCGCTTTATCGTCAACCTGCTGCTGCACCTGCCATTGCGCAGCCCCGTGCCATAGCCTGCCACCAGGAGCCGCCGTACCAGGCGCAGACTCCGCCAGCGCACTCGCTGCTTCTATCTCCGTCACCACTTGCGTGCAACCACACACGTTTGTAGAGGAGTCAAAGCCCTGCACTGGGACATCTCCATCTCGTCCGATGAAGCCTTCATGCGCGCCGCCCGCGCCGCAGCGCCATTTGCGCAAGGGCAGTTCCATCGCCTCTCCGCGATTTGAGTTTTCTTCCAGAGGGTTGGAAGTCGTGTCGTGCCCCAGTGCTTCCTTGATGACATGGAAGCCCATGTCGAAAGCGTTTCCCCGCCTAGACGTGTAAATGCTGACGAGTACGTTAATGACGACCCACACGACGAGCATGAGGGCGAGCGGAATGATGTTGGCAATCGGGCGACTTACAACAACGTCAATTGGACATGTAGCCGTTTCACGCACTTCGCCGGTGGAGGGAGTCAACTCCAACCGATTATCCCTTTCGCCTCGTCCAAGCTTCTGTAACGTCAATGAGCCTGTGACATACGCTTGGACCCTTGCTATGAGACTGAGGGCATCAAAATCGCAATCCAATCCCTGCCCTTTCAATTTAGAGCCAGTCTCTTCCGACGTATCGTCAGCGGTAACTATGATGTTGCACTCTTTTCCTGTCTCTGAACGGAGTGCGTTGGCCATGACTTGGAGATTGTCATGAGAGCCATATACACACACGTAGCACACGTACAACAGCGATCAACTCACCACGATCGCCGCCGGCCTACGGATCGCTACCATCCCTACATAAGGTAGATAGAGACGCGATCACAGTAAATCGAGCCATCGATCTTGCATCACAGGTTATGGACCCTAACCACGCACCACTACAAGACGATCATCTCGTATACCGACCACCCGGACGAGATCAGGACAACGATAGCACGGCACCACAAAGCCCCGTTGCCCCAACCCCACAAGCTCCGCCAGCAAGCGTAGAGGCAACACAACCCGCTCCGACCACATCCGTAGAGCCACACCACCAAGCTCCGATCACCCCCGTAGAGCCAACACAACCCGCTCCGCACACAACCGTAGAGCCACAACACCAAGCTCCGATCACCCCCGTAGAGCCAACACAACACGCCCCGACAACACCTGCCGATCGCCCACAAATGTCAAACCAGCCAGAAGTAGCACCCGAAATGCCCCAAGCTGACACAAGAATGCATGGACAGCTACCTCCACTCGCAAGCGACGGAACGAACTACAAGCAATGGACGCAAACCCTCCACGACATAGCGATAATCAACAACGTAGAGGCAGCCCTCGACGAAAGCTCACCACCCCCCACAGTAACGAGCCCGTATCATTCCATATACCGCAGAAAATGTGCATTCCTTCGCATGAGCATCATGACTAGCCTCCCTGCGGATCTGGCAAGCACAATCGACATGGACCTCAGCGTTACCCCTCAACAGCTTCTGGCGGAGATCAAAACACACTTCACTGACTCAACGCCAACCACACACCTCATCCTCAAACAAGAAGCACAACGCACAAAGATCAAGGCGGGAGGGGATATCGATGAATACATCGCAGCACACCAAACCATACGGACAAAAATGTGTCTCGCAGAGTACCCCAGCATTCAACATGATGAATCTGTCACGATAGAATTCATCATACACGGCCTCAACTCGCACCCGGCATTGCGACACCTACCCGACATGTGGATCGCGAACAACACAATCCCCACAACCATAGCCAACCTCGTCCAACGACTCAAATCCATACAAACTCGAGAAGACGAAAAACAGGAAATCCCGCAACAACGTCCACAAGGCATGAATACGACAGACCAATGGGCAGACAGCCCCAACTACCAGGCAATGAGACGACGAACTCGCAGCCGGAGGCAAGGCAGAGGATCAACGACCCACCCCGATCAACCCCAATGCGGCAATGCAGCCACAAGGGAAAATGCGGAAAAATGGTACACGAATACCGATAAGAAGCGCATAACCCCACGGCAAACACGTCCGACGCCCAAAACCACCACCGGGCAAATGGCCAGCACCCGCGACGAACACGACAACACAACCGCGCAACAAGTGACTGACGAGGACATATGCGAAGGTAAGCAGTATGCCCTCGACTCAGGAGCGCATCCGTCACATGTCCGCAAACCCACGACGAACATGAAACCACTCCGACAAATCATCCGAACTAACACGGCCACCAACATCACGCCACCCGCCACACACAAGGGAATGATACATATACGGACCAGTACGAATAGGCACATACGAGTCCCAGCGATCGCCAACCCAGCAATGCGATCCAACCTGCTATCAGTTCACGACATAGCAGAGCAATGGGGAGAGGTCCGGTTCACACCCACACAGGCCACTGTACTCGACACGAGCACACACCCGCCACAAATAGTAGCGCAAGCGCGCTTCAGGAAAGGCATGTACTACCTGGATCTCCCAAAAACCAAAGGCAACGGTATGGCAGCCCGGACCATACCACCACGGTCAATAAAAAAATTCCAAAAGACCCGATACCCAAACCAAAAAAGCCCCCAACCCAAAAACAAAAAAAAGAAGACAGCGACGCCAAAGCCAAGCCGCACACTACCACGTGGCCACACCGCACCACGCGCAGAAAAAATCCCACTACACCAAATGCACAACCCAGCGCCCCCACCGCACACCCCAGCACACCCAGCTGTAGAAAGGGACTTCCACCACTACCATGTACTGTTCAATCACATCAGACCAACAACGCTTCAGAAAATGGCCAAACTCGGCCTCCTGCCAAACCTCCCGCCCACACTCAGGCAACGACCACCGCGGATCACCTGCTCGAGCTGCGCTGCAGCGAAGCAGCAGCCCGCACCGCACTACCCCAAGACTCACAACTACCGAGTAGGAGCCGCCTTTAGCAGCGATATATGTGGACCATTCAACCCCACATCCAGGCAAGGCAACAAATATATACTCACAGTAATAGACACCCGATCCCGCTACCTCATAGTCGACTTCCTGCAATCAAGAGCAGAAACACCGCACAGGCTGGATGTCATCCTCACAGCCCTCAAAAAACGAAAAGGGTGCAAACCGAGACTGTTCCACACAGACAACGCGAAAGAATATGTATCAGACAGCGCCAATGCCGTATACAGATCGCACAACGTCATGCACAGCACTACAGTCCCACACACGCCCCAACAAAATGGCATCGCTGAAAGGATAAACAGTACACTCATGAACTCAGCCAGAGCCGCCCCTCACCACAGCTCACTACCCAAGACGCACTGGGAAGACGCAGTAAGGGACGCTGCATTCAAGTACAACAATATACTCCACCACGGGATCAACACCCTTCCCTACACCATGTGAACCAATGCCACCCCCGACGTCCCACAATTCCTGCTGTTCGGACAGCTCGGTACAGTACCTGAGTTAGCAAATCGGAAACAAATATCAAAACTCGCACACAGGGCAACACCCGCAAGGTACCTCCATGGCATCGACGAAAACCACATAATGGTCCTCGAACTCGACACGAACAGACCGCGACGAGTTCGATGCGTCAACTTCCAACCATACCACAGCACCACCGATCCTGTAGCCTCACGCACATACGCCACGAAAGCCTTCACCCCGCATCGCACGCCAACAGAGATAACAGGCACCACACCCGCCCCAGCTCACCCCGGACAAGCCAAAAAATACCCCCACGCTGCCGAATGGGAAAAGGCACACAACGCCGTACTCGACAACCTCGACGCCATGAACGTAGTACAGTGGATACCCGACTTCGAAATCCCCAAGAAACGGAAACTGATACCCCTAAAAATGGGATACCGTTACAAGAGGGACAGTAAAGGACAAATTGCATCGAGAAAAGCCCGATGCTCTGCAAGGGGGGACATAATGCTACCACACAAGCACTACGACCCATCCAAAACTACAACGTACATGGCCGACAAGACCACAGTACGCGCAATGTTTGGAATAGCGGCCAAGTACCGCATGCACATCGAACACATCGATATCAAGTCAGCGTACCTACACGAAAAATTCGCGCACAACGGAGGAGAAACAGTATACGTGAGACAGCATGCCAGATTCAATGGCACATACAAAAATGCCTGCCAAGGCGGAAAACTAAACATGAACATATACGGGACGCCATCCGCCGGCCACACATACCTATCTGCAGTCTTCACACTCCTACGAAAGGACAACTTCAAGCAAAGCGAAGCAGACCTGTGCCTCTGGTCCAAAAAAGGCAAAGAACATATAATTGCTGCTGTCAGCATGGATGACTTCACAGTACTCGCCTCAACCGCGAAACTCAAAGACGAGTTCGCCGCAGCACTAGCGAAAGCGTACAACATCAAACGCCTAGGGGAACACAGGACTTTTCTCGGATGGACGGTGACACGACACCAAAACGGAGACATTCACATCTCCCAGCCCAACGCCATCAACTACATAGTACAGCAAGTGGACATGGCCAAATGCAACGCTAAAGACACCCCATACTGCGACGGTGTCCTGCTCCACAAGCCAACAGACAAAGACGAGACCCAACTGCACACACTCAAAAAATACCAGCAGATCATTGGGGACCTACGCTATGTCGCTGACTCGACGCGACCAGACATCTACTTCCTGGCAAACAGACTAGCAGTAGCGGCCAACAACCCGACGCAAAGGCACTGGAACGCACTCAAACGCCTGATAAGGTACCTCAAGGGCACACCAAACACAGGCCTCACGTTCCGATCCGGCAAGCAAACAGACAAAGAGAAACCCCAGAACCTCCTTGTCTCGTATGCTGATGCCGATTTCGCCGCCGACATCACGGACAGGAAGTCCATATCGGGGACCCTCCACACATACAACGGCACACCGATATGCTGGGGGTCCCTCAAGCAAAACATCACAGCCTTATCCACCTGTGAGGCAGAATATATTGCGGCCACCTCCGCCGCACAGCAGACCACGTGGATCCGACGTCTGCTACAGGATGTGCACATGCTGCCGAAATCCCCGACCCCCTTGATGATAGACAACCAGTCCGCCATCCACGTTTCCAACAGCACGGGACCGACGAAAAGGCGAAAATTCATAGATATGAGGCATCACTACCTCACGAATCAGGCACAAAAGGGCACAATTGCCATTGCACATGTCCCCACGGACGAACAACTCGCGGACATCCTCACGAAACCGCTGCGTCGTCAAGCATACACGCGCCTCCTCCCCAAACTACAGCTCAGAAACCACACGACTGCAGACGGCAAAACTGCAGCGCCGTCGACAGGGGGAGTGTCATGAGAGCCATAAAAACAAACGTCGACGCCGCAACAGCAATGCGTCAGCAGTCATGAGAGCCATATACACACACGTAGCACACGTACAACAGCGATCAACTCACCACGATCGCCGCCGGCCTACGGATCGCTACCATCCCTACATAAGGTAGATAGAGACGCGATCACAGTAAACCGAGCCATCGATCTTGCATCACAGAGATGAACATCAGAATCGATCTTATTAAAATTTGTGAAGAGGAGCGATGTGTCGTTCTCTCTTTGCCGTCTGTCCTGAACCCACTGGATGTAAAAGTCACTTGACGCAACCTCCCCCCTACTACTTATTATCGTCCTTAGACGACCCCTGCGGTTAGTCATCGACAAATTTATGGCTTGACCTTCCCCCTCAGGAACAATTTCAAACCCTAACTCCGCTAAGCAAGAACAGTACGACGCAAAGGACCTGACTTCGCCTAGTGTAGTTGTCAGCGGAATGTCGGCGCAAACCCTATTTAAATCCGGAGCTGGCTTTCGAACGTTAGGGTCCATGTGGATTCGAAAGTCGCCCTTCTCACACCCACTCAGACGCTTTTCGCTCGGGATGGAGATGGCAACAGAGGTGATGGCAGTAACCAAAATGAAGAGCCTCGCCAGAAGGGGGAGGAAAAGCCTGCGGAGTTGGATTTCGTTCCTGTAACGTGTGCTGCCCTTCTCCTTGTACGAGTACCTGTGCCAAATCCAGGAGAACATGCGGATGGGGTCGTCGCTGCTCACAAAGATGAAGGAGCGGATCCAAGAGGAATATTCGAAGCTCGTTTCCTGGGAGCTAAAGATGAGCTTGGAGGTGACTGACAGAATGTTGGAGATGATGAAGACAGTGAGCAGAGATATGATGAGGCCATTGACATTGTCGCTGGACGTTTGAACAGTGGAAAAGCTAAAGTCGGGCGTGACGTCTAACTGCTGGAGAAGAGTCATGGCTGGCGGGAGGGAGGGGCGAACAAGAAGGATAGATTGAAACGTAGGGAGAGGGAAGGGAATGTTTCGAAGAGCTGCTTTCTTCGCAAAACACAGGACAGGGCGGCTTGTGAAGCAAGTTACTGCACAGTACTCTTGTTTCTTCTAGGGAAAGTGGAGGGCCATCTCGGCGATTGAGACGGTATCCGCACCGGCAGGTTCTGAAGAGCGTCAGAGCCACTCGTCACTGTGAGTGCATGTTCATTCGCGACACTTTGGTGACATACAGCGTGAAGACGACAACAATGTAGTAGACGGCAACAATGCGTCGCTCTCCCTTTATCCATGTGATGCCAAGAACAGTCGATGCCTCCTTCCTCTATCGGTGGGGGAGGCGACGACGGCTTTATTTGGGTGTCGAGGAAAGGTGCCCTAATGGCAGTGCCCTAATTGTAGTGCTGTTTTGCATACAGTAGGTAGATGCATAATCCAGCAGTTGTGCATCTGCATGCGAGTTTCTCGACATGAGAAGCTTGCTGTACCCTTAAGGGTACTGTACAATGCACAGCATAGATATATTCTGTAGATACGCATTAAGTGTACTGTTGTATGGGGGTCATGTCACGCGTGCTGCGCATCATTTATGACGCAGCCAACTTCGCCTACATGCAGAAGGATGATCTCTCGACTAAGAGTCGTTCTAAACAGGTAAGAAAATTGTTGCTTTTGCACATAGTTATGATAAAAACTGTTCCCATTGGCCGGTCACAAGATATGATATTCTTGCATGCAGGAATCCCCACGCAAAAATCGATCACTTCTTCGTGCAAGAAAAGAAGGGAAACACTGTTTGCATCGTCGCCATATGCACTCGCGCTCTTCCGAGCCTCCTTTTTTCTCGTACTCACCGAGCTCCGCGCTCTTCAGCGCTTCATTTTTTCTCCTACTCACCGAGCTCCGCTCGCACCTACATCTGCTCTCGCCACCGCGTACTTGACGTCGCTGCACGTTCTTCGCCGCTTTTCGAAGGCTACACGCGCGAAGAACACTCTGCATTCTGATCATCTCGCCGCACTCGTCGTGCGCACGGAACAACTGCTTTTATTGTCGCAATATACACCAGCCCTGATCTACGCTTCTCCGTGTTTTGGATTTACCGCGCTCCTTGCGCACCTGCATCCCTCGCCGCCTCATCCTCGAGGCCTCTGCGCGTCGTATGCTGTGCTTCTAACGCCAAACGACGCGAAATAAACCTAGTGCTACCCGCCTTGCCGCACGCGTTACGCCCTGCCCACCACAAATAGCGTGCACTAATTTATCAACCGCCGAGTGCCTCGTCTCAGGTACCTGAGGCCACACGCCGAAACACCACAAATATGGAGCGTATAGACAATCAAGAGGAAGTGCGAGGGAGTGGGAGTGAAAATGCACAAGGCGCCATCAGTGTACTACCTGCTGGAGAAGAGTCATCCGCCGATAATGAATCCCACTTGCAAGTCCCACTGCTTCTCAACGATAATCCATGGCTATCTAACTTTGACAATGGCATCGCTGTGACTCCGAATGACCGAGACAAGGTTTACACTTTTCTTTCTTCCTCACGTGTACCTGATCTCCGCGCGCTCGCGAAACTGTTCAAGATTGGCACGGTTGGAAACAAGAGAAACTTAATCTGCAAAGTGCTGATGTATTTATATAAAGTTGAACGAAATGGAGGGCAAAACTGGCCTGCCCTAGTTGCGGCGAAGTATGTAGACTGGATCAAAAGTCCCCTGCAACTAAACAGGATATTCTACATGTGCCCAGAAGAAAGGCAAATTACATCTGGGCAGCCCGAATCTCTCGGAAGACGCACCAGCGAACGGTCTGGTTCAGGTTTGGATCTGTCAATATCATCGGATCCCGGATTTACGCTCGATGAATTTGCGCGTTTGTGCGCAATCCTATTCAGAAATGAGGAAGCTAGGGCTGCTCTGCTAAAATCGGGTGAGGATCTCACTAGAGCAGAGCTGGACAGAAGGGAATCGCGAGATCTGTTTTGGAGCAGCGTGGTCGAACCAATTTTTAATAATGCTTGTCTAAAGCCACAGCTCGCGCTAGACGGCTGTGTTAGTGGTGTAGACTCTACAGCAGCTCCGATAATATTCCGATCAGCCGAGAAACTCAAGCAGCATTTTTACGCATCGAAGAGTATATTTACTCTTGCAATGAAGAATTACGAAGCTTCAGGACAGAACGACCCAGACAACTTTGCCCACTTCATTCCCAGAACATCTAGCACTCGGGAACCGTCCTCGGCTGGAAAGCGCTGTATAGTTTTATTTGTTGCCATGAAATGCGGGACTCCCGAAGAGGACCAGGACGCTTTGGAAATAACGAGGAAAGACACAGCTCCGGGTATGGGCTGGGATGAGGGAAATTTGGGAATCGGACGAGAAGTTTCCGGTTCGACACCGAACCGTGGGAGGAGGAGGAAGAGGCGACGCGCAGGATTTATCGAAGATGACAATGATACCCGGGAGAACGTGAGCGAACTTGTCGCAGCAGTAACCACGCTTGCATCTAGTGTTCCTCAACGACGTAGAGGGGAAGAACTCAACGATCCTGCAAGTATGTCTTACCCTCAGCTCGTGACAACCAGAGGCCATCTTATTGAGCAACTGACTAGCATTGATTCAAAAATGAAAGAAGCGGGGCCGAACCTGCACGCAATTCTCCAGAATCAATTCGACAGCATTGCAAAAGCACTAGATAGACTACCGCAGTGCGATTCTTTCGCTGATTAAAGGACATATGCGGGTAAAAGAGCAAGGGAGGAAGGGAGGCAGGCGGCAGGGCGGTACGGGAGCAATGGAGGAAGGGAGGCAGGGGGCAGGGCGGTACGGGAGCAAGGGAAGAAGGGAGGCAGGGGGCAGAGCGGTACGGGAGCAAGGGAGGAAGGGAGGCAGGGAGTAGGGCGGTACGGGAGCAAGGGAGGAAGGGGGCAGGGCACCCCTCCGCTGCTTCACCTCTGTGGCGCCCCCTCCTAGGACGCCTGCCGCCGCCCCTCGAATGGTGCGACCTCCCCTGTGTTCGCCGCTTTCGGCGGGGAGAAATCGGACGTTCGGCCATGCCTCCTCTACGTCATCTCATGTTCATCTGCGTACAGCATGGTACGGGTCTCTCCGGAGCTTATACCCTGCGTCGAAGTTCCCCGACTCGACCTCAGATGTTTACTATAATTACACGCGCGTTGATGCAAATCCCTACTTACCTGGCGCAATGTGAACTCCCTTCACGGACCTTTTTTATTGTGATAATCAGGAGGTTGTCTCTACGAGGGTCGAAAGAACCCCAATTCTTTGAGGTGGGCTGTGAGATGATCACGTACGTGTGATGACTCTAAATCCCTGCGTCGGCCCTGGTCTTGGTCACGAAGACTAGTCGCCGCCTCCCACCATTTGTTAAATGCCATATCTAAAATGTCTCTATCTTGCGTGGACATTGCGCTGCGCATTGGCATAACTTTGTTATCGATGCAGTAATTGTGAACTCTCATACATGCTGCCAGCACAGCAGGTACCCTTGATAAAGAGAACTTCATCTGTCTCCAAAGAATTCCAAATCTTGCAATGAGCATTCCGAAGCTCTGTTCCACATGCATACGGAGCGACGATTGATAAAAATTAAATGCATCCCGAGCATCGCCGTGTTCCGGATCTGCAATCTGCGAAGTACTCCACGGCGTTACGAGCGAATTTAAGCACTCAAATGCCGCGTCTGCGGCAATCCAGTAACCGGTCATCATTGTTTCACTATTCATCAATTGTCTACCGAGAGCGGAAACTGCAAAGGCAAGGGAGTCATGTGTACTTCCAGTACACAATGCAGACATATACAAAAACCTATAAGATGAGTCAACAACTGCCTGAACCGGTATACCGTAGTGTCCTTTGCGGCAGAAGTAAGCCCGTGGGACCGAGCTTTCAGACGGTTTTGCAACCTTTATGACAAGTCCATCAAGAGCCCCAATGCATCCCCAGAGTGGGCTAGGGGTAGATCTTGAACTGCAGAAGCCGCTAGCTAAGTTATGTAAAGAGTTAGCATCCTGAAGCGGTACGCCGGGTAAGTGCAAGGTAGATAAAATTGCATCAATTGTACTGTGGAACACTTCGTACGCAGTAGAAGTCCCAATTCGAAAGAGCATCACTAAACCATGGTGCGATGCACCGGCAAGCATACGAAGCGTCAAAGCCAGCCTCACTGCTGGATCTACTCTTCCACCGCTGGATCGGGCAGCCATCGCAGTGTTTCGTTGCAGCAAAGGCGTTAGAGCATCAAGTAAACGGAAAAAGACATTTCGCGGCAGTCTAAAGCACTTCTGAAATTCATGATCGCTGAGGTACATATGGCATCGATCAAAAGCATCCCGGAATCTGATCTTTGTTACGCCTTTCTCGACGCTTCGTATATTTTCCCTTCGCCGCTGTGAGTTTTCCAAAAGGATTACAGCTGTTGTCGCAGCAATGGCAGCAACAGCTGCTGCGCACGTAACATAATCATCAGCGTCACCGCATTCCTCGTCACCATCCTTAACACTCATGTGAAGTGCTCCGCTGGAGTTGTCGACCGGCACCAACAAGCAGGGCACCAAAGAGGATACGCATGCTGCCCTTGACCAAAACTGCAACAAGTACCACTAGATAACCGCCACTTGGTTGCGTAAATTGCGTGCGAAATCTGGACATGGTTTAGAACAAAAATGCAAATTGCACAAATGTATGATAATCTCGTGCAAAACGTAACGAACTAATCCGCTGTTTAGAACGACCCTAAGTACGTTGTCTTGAGACCTCAAGACTACCACTTTCCTGAGCACTCTAGTGTCTATCAACCTAGCGTTATCATAACCTAATAGTCTGCGAATTTTGTTTCTTTTCAATTTTGATGTCATCCACGGTTTCAAGTTTTCTTTTGGGAGGTTTCAGCCACCAAATTTTGCCAAAACAGATCGGGGTGTTCAAAGCTCAGGGAGGGTCTTAACTTGCCCGAGTTTGCTCGGGTTTGCTTGCCCCGAGCCATGATTTGCACTACTATTGGCTACTGGGCGTTAATATATGATTTGAAACTAAGTACGACCCTACACTGCAAGCTCAAGTAATGTCAGTGTGTAATGACAAATGTCAATCATATATTGGCTACTTTTGTAAGTTTGTAACTTTCGAATTTGGACGCTGTGCTCCGGTGGACGCAGTGCTTGCCCCTTGCCGAAAACATCCTCAACTTTCCCTTTGCAAAAATCTATGCACCTGCCATCTCGCAAAGGCAACCCAACTCTACGAAGCACCTCTCTGCCGACTACTTTCCTGAAAATGGCTTCCACACCTCAATGCCACGTGCGCCGTTCTCCGCGCCTCTGGTGCATCTCTCTGACTCCCACCATTCTTAAGACGGGGACCACCAACGCAAAGTCTCTCACTATTGCTTCCTCGTCTGCAGCGGACGTTTCTGACCAAATATTATCCCCCCCTCCGTACGGTATGTACGACTGAATTCTTTGTCGTTAAAAATCCTGTTGGCTCTGACAAAAGTCCATCCCCGTCCGAGATCTAAGGGCTTTGTGAATTTTTGGGGTCGAGGATAGTTTGAAATAGCTTGGTGCAATGAAAGGAGGGAGAATAGAGCTGCGGTTGCGGTTAGTGCGGTCGTAGCAGTGATGATTCTATTGCCGTGCATTGCGTGGGAGTGATTAGATTGAGAAGAAAGGAGGGGAGGCGAACGGCGATACTGGGCAGTGGTTGTAGATCCGTTTTTTGACCAAACAGCGCCGGCGATTGATACGCTATCCCGCGGAGTAGTAAGGAGAGAAGTAGGGGGTGAGATCAATTATTTATCCCGGTGATCTGGGATCACCCGCAATGGCCACGTTCTGGGTCGGAAGCGAGCGACGCTGCAGCGTCTCGCGTCCATGTCGACGCGTCCCTCGGGCGAAGTTGTTTGACGCTGCAGCATGTCACGTCCCTGTCGATGCGTCCTCGGAGCGAATTTGTAGAACCCACAGTGTCCTCCCCGTTGTGTTCTGGCAATTTATGGCGCTGTATGCCTCTGTAAGTCAGCACCGTCGCTCTGGGACACCTGTCCACTACTAACGTAAGGGGAAGGCGTGTACTTACATTAATAAATTAATAAATGACCGGCAAACTCGGGCAAGCAAAGCAAACCCGGGCAAGTTAAGACCCTCCCTCACTATTTGAATTTTGAATTTTCACTTTTTGATCATCATGTTGAGCCGGTGGTGCCAAAGCACGAAGTCGGCACCTTGGCTACTCCTGCCCCGGCCGCCCCGACTCTGTTGAATGTTGCATAGCTGGAGGCAGCGTCATAAAAGCTGGTCCCGGTTGGGGCAACCGCTGCGGCAGCCCGGACGCAGACCACGAGCTGCTCACCGCGGCCGTCTGCGATGCAAAGTTGTCAGTCGGGGCCGCCGATGATAAAGTCGACGCCTGTCCTTGCAACCGCGGATGCACATCCCCACGCCACAGCTCGTCGGCCGGAGCCATCGTGCCAGGCGCGGAGTCTGGCAGCGCACTCGCTGCTTCTATCTCCGTCACCACTTGCGTGCAACCACACACGTTTGTAAAGGAGTCAAAGCCCTGCACTGGGACATCTCCATCTCGCCCGATGAAGCCTTCATGCGCAGCACCAGCGCCGCAGCGCCATTTGCGCAAGGGCAGTTCCATCGCCTCTCCGCGATTCGAGTTTTCTTCCAGAGGGTTGGAAGTCGTGTCGTGCCCCAGTGCTTCCTTGATGATATGGAAGCCCATGTCGAAAGCGTTTCCGCGCCTGGATGTGTAAATGCTAACGAGTACGTTGATGATACCCCACAAGACGAGCATGAGAGCGAGCGGGAGGATGTTGACGATCGGGCGACTGACAACAACGTCAATTGGACATGCCGCCGTTTCACGCACTTCGCCGGTGAGGGGATTCAACTCCAACCGATTGTCCATTTCGCCACGACGAAGCTTGTTCAAAGTCAATGAGCCTGTGACATACGCTTGGACCCTCGCTATGAGACTGAGGGGATCAAAATCGCAATCCAATATCTGCGCTTTCGCTATAAGGCTGTTGTCCTCTGACGGTAACTTGTCAGAAGTACCTTTGGCTGTGCACTGCTGTACTGTCTCTGAACGGAGTGCGTTGGCAATGACTTGGAGATGATCATCAGAGTCGATCTTTTCAACATTTGTGAAGAGGAGCGATTTGTCATTGTCTCTTTGCCGTCTGTCCTTGACCCACTGGATGTAGAAGGCACTCGCTGCAGTGTTGTTCTTGCTCACCAATGCGGTCCATAGTTGACCCGACGCTGTGGTGATTGTAATTATTCCGCCTTCGCCTTTCGATACAGGGACGTTAGATCCAAAGTCCACCAAGCAAGAGCAGTACGACACACGAGATCTGACTTTGCCTAGTGTAGTTGTCAGCGGAATGTCGGCGCAAACCCTATTTAAATCCGGAGCTGGCTTTCGAACGTTAGGGTCCATTTGGATTCGAAAATCGCCCTTCTCACACCCACTCAGGCGCTTTTCGCTCGGGATGGAGATGGCAACAGATGTGATGGCAGTAACCAAAATGAAGAGCCTCGCCAGAAGGGGGAGGACAAGCCTGCGGAGTTGGATTTCGTTCCTGTAACGTGTGCAGCCCTTCTCCTTGTATGAGTACCTGTGCCAAATCCAGGAGAAAATGCGGATGGGGTCGTCGCTGTTGACAAAGATAAAGGAACGGACCCAGGAGAGGTACTCGAAGCTTTTTTCGCGGGAGCTGAAGATAAGCTTGGAGGTGACTGACAGGATGTTGGAGATAACGAAAACAGTGAGCAGTGATATGATGAGGGCGTTGATGATGTCGCTGGACGTTTGGACTGTAGAAAAGCTAAAGTCGGGCGTGGCATTCAACTCCTGGAGGAGAGTCATAGCTGCGAGACGGAGAGGCGAACGAGAAGGATGGATTAAAACCTGGGGAGGAGGAAGTGGATGGTTAAAATGTGTTGTCTTTATGTTCGAAACAGAGGGCGGTTGGAAATGTGAAGCAAGGAAGTGCGGTTTGTTGGAGAGATATGGACAGCTTGCCCGGGGGCATGAGACGGGATACACCTCTTACGGGCGCGGTGTGGGAGAGCGGTGTTCTTACTGCTGGTGTGCATTAACTCTGAGACAGCTCGCTAGCATAGAGTCTGAACACGGCAACAATGCGCCGCTCTCATGTACAGTAGTCGCGTAGTCGCGGATGTGTACAGTATGACGGCCGTCGGCCAAGCAAGAGGACTCGAGATCTCTTCGGAATGCGCAGCATGGACGTCTGGGCACTCGAGATCTCTTTTGAATGTCCAGAATGGACGCCTGGGCGTATTTACAGTGCGCCGCCATGCGTGTACGATAGTACCACATGTTCGACGTCATCGTTGCCGCCGCCGATTGTGCCAACGTGCACATCTCTTGATCTCATCAAAGGTTCCGTTTCCCATACCCAGGCTCTCTTTTTCGGCCACACTAAAACACCGACATGCACGTGTCCGCCGCGCCATCTCGTCGTTTCACAAATGGGTTTCCGCTGCAATGCCTTGGTCACCTGAATAGAGCAACCAAGCACTCGGGGAGTTTAGAACTTGCGACACTTTTAAGACTAGGATTGGCCCAGAGAAAACGTCTCACAAGGCCATGAATTCGTTCCAGTCGCAGCACAACTCTGTGCTGTAGGACTTGATGCACACAGCGACATTGTCGCTACAGTGAATGTACAGTTCGTTCGTGGTACAGGGTATCATTTTAAGGGGGCTGCAGCGACAAGGGCAGCGAGACAATCATCAAAAAAAACGACTTCTGCTCCCGGTACAGTATCCAAACACTAGTAGTCAAAAGCCCCACACGTCATCCCAAACCAACCGCCCGAAGAAGTTGGAACTGCAACCTTAGACACAATAAATCACGCTTCTTCGTTATATTTCTCCTAGGGCAAAAGCCATCTCGCTCCCTCATGAAAGCAAAATCAATCGATGGCCACATCGCTAGGGAACTGCCGTACAGCGGTGTGATAACGTCGTAACTTAAAGAACGCAGAAGGTTGAAGGTATCATTGGAAACCTTGGTTATCGCAACAGGCGTCGATAAAATCACGGTCTCGCACCTCGCTTTCTTTGGAGTTGATGGAGCAGCAATGATTTGCGACAAATCTGAAAGGATCTTTATACAGTTCCTATTGCGCTAAGAGCATCGCCACCGCCGCGGTTCTATAGCGGGATAGAACTGAAACGTGTAAGCTTACAATTCGCCGGTTGTTCCAATAGATTTACAGTATGTGACGTGTAGTCAATCTATTCACGCTTATTCTAACCGCGTCAACCCCAACGCCAGTTTGCGTTTCTATTGCAGCAGATTCACATTGCCAACGCGCGCGGCGTCGCCCGCCGCCTGCCGCCTGCCTTGAGACTTTTGTCTGACTATCCTTCCCCTGCTCACCGCTCTCCGAAGCTTGGTCCACGATCCTCTCTGGTCTTCCCTCAAACCCCCTCTCCACGAACTGCACAAACTCTTTCCCCAAACACAGCATCTCCAATCAGCGTCCCCCGTACAACACCTCCCTCATCCCCACACGCATCCCCTCTACCCTCGCGACTTTCACCGCCTGGCTGTCTGAGCACGGCATAGACGTACTGCCCGGGAGAGGCACCGTGTTGTGTCTGCCACCTGGTGTCCGCCGATCTCCGCTCGCAGTTGTGGCGCAGGGTGCGCCACAACCGCCCGCGCCGACTAGAACGCGAGGTGTCTGGCGCGGCTTCCAGCCGCTAGCTTGACTGAGTGACAGACATGGACCCGCGCAAAAGCTCTCCCGACCGTTCTGCAGTCGCCTTTCCGCCAAGAGGAACTGAAGTTTGCGGGAAAACATTGGAAAGGCGGCGGACACGCCGTCCGCGTGGCGTTCTATAGGGAATTCTATCCGAGCTATATATATATACTGTAGATCGTTTTCAGATCTACAGTATAGGAGCGGGCATAGAATCAGAAATCGTCCAATACGATCTTGGAAATGCACAGAATTTCGCGTTGGTGTTCCAAAATTGATTCTATGCAACGCAGAATTGCGCGTTGGAAATGCTCTTACACTTTCAACGTGGGGAGATTTGGTCTGTTGTCGGTGGCGTCGTCTGGTTGGTGTACATACTGGGATCAAAGGAGGTGCGGCAGCGGCGCAACACGGAGGTGTGGGGGAGTTTACGTGATGCGTGGTAGAGTCAGGAGAACTGTATCGCTGCATAAACTTTAAATGTTATTGCAGGTTGGCTTGACCTCACTCCGGCTTGATCTCACATTGGCTTGATCTCAGGACCGTTACTACTGCAGCAGGGACGAGCACCGAGGTCGTTACTCCAAACAACAGGACCCATTTCCACGCGCCTGTGCCGACGACACTAATTTGCGACATCCACCTCTGGTCTCCATCCGTACGCTCTGCCGGCGTAGCCTCTCTCTCGAGTACTCTGTGAGTACTCTGGAAACACGTAGCACCTCCAGCTTCGCGCGCCACCACTGCACACGCCGTTGACGCCACAACCGCCACTCTTTATTTCCACAGCAATTGCACCACCACTTGAATTTGCACGCCTACGCAGTAGCGTATACTCCACTCACTTCGACAGCGATAACAGTTCGGTAACTATTTTGGCAAATATAAACTATTTTGGCAACGCACTGCTTCCCCTTTTTGCCGCACTTGTCCGAAACCGAGTCACCCAGATCCGCCTCCGCCACTTGCTAACCTTGGTAGCTCTGTGACTGATTATAACCTGCGCGCCTTTTCTGTTTTTACCGCCATTCGAAAGCCCATTACTTTCGCTTGTTCGCCAAAAATTCCAGGCTGTGGCGTGCAATTACAACGTAATATGCTTTTCCATATCGATCGATAGCCGCCCATCATCGCCATTCCGGAAAAGTGCGGCAAAAAAGGGAAGCAGTGCGTTGCCAAAATAGTTTATGTTTGCCAAAATAGTTAACGGACATTATTTGACTGTTAGAATAAAGAGTTTTTTTCGGGCCACGGCCATTACTTGAGGTTGCCAAATTAGTTTCCATGCGATTCAGACCTGTAAAAGGGGTTCATTTAAGTGACTTCATTCCCTTGAATGAACACATGATGTGATTTCGTTACAGTTGTAAAGCTACAGTACTGTATATGCGCGCTTTATGTGTTTATTGAGCTTTAAAAAGTCAAAATCGGTGAAGGACTGGGTAGGGTACGGCCTTTTCACCAGACATGCCTAGAAAAAAACCGTCACTTGCCACATTTTATCATGAACTCTTATGCCTGGCGCCTGGAGCAGGAGGGACACGTTCGAATCTGTGATTCAGATTTGGGCATTACAGAACGTTTTGATAGGAACATGAGGCAACTGAATTAGGATATCTGTAATTCTTTTTACAAATTCACGCCTACGGATCGCACCGACAGCTTCCACTGCCGGACCCCTGCCGGCCGCCTGCCTGGAACCCCCCCCATGTCCTCGTCCGGCCTGTCTTGCTGGAGTTGGCACCAACGCTTCTGAATCCGGGGACATTCCGCCACCAAGTGCGTGCGGGCAATCATTGCTCGGGCGTCCCTGTGTTGGGGTCTCTCGGCGACCTGCGCCGTCTCTGCCGGGTTGGCGGCACTGAATGGCTTGAGACAGTCGCGCGTCACTTTGCATGTGGGCGAGCTTTCTATCTTGTCCATCAAAGCTCGCAGACCGGTTCTCGCCGCGACGGTGTCCAACAAGTCCAGCTGCCCACTCGGCGCATGACTCGACTTGGGGGGGACCTTCAGGCGGGGTACGTGCCCACCGCGAGGGTACTGTAAACTTTACTCGTATCGTCCTACGGCTTTCGTTGCAGTACTGTACTGTACTGTACTGTACTGTATTACCGATGGACTGGACAAGCCCCTGGAGTACAGCACTGTATCATACGCCTCCCTGGAGTCCCTTGCAGCTCTCGTTGCTGGCGTAGAATTCTTGTCAGTGCGTCGCGAGAGCAGCCTTACTAAACTCACGATGTGCCAACACCGCAGCAACAATCCGCACAACCGCCGCCCTGTTTTTTCAGCGTAGGAAATCACTCAAAATCACTGTCAAGCGGGCACCTACCGTAAAATAGCTGTGGGCCATTGGATGTCCTGCATTTATTCGAATGCGAAGGGTGGAAGCAAACCTTTCCCGCCCTCTCTGCGAGAAGACCAAGAACGAAAAACGACTACCCTTGGGTAACGACTGACAACGACAAGAGAGAAAAAAGAGATTCCGAGAGGGAGAGATATAGAGAAGAGCAAGCGCCGCTTTGCTACCGCCGCCTATTCAAATCCGAACAACACCCCCTATTCGCAAACACCATGGCTGATCCATACAGTATCTTGGGCCTCACCGGCCCGGCTGAGCAAGTCGTCCGCCTCATCGCAAGTCTCATCGAACGACACAAAGCCTACAAGGAAAACAAAACGCTGTCTACGGAAGTGCTCACTGCCTACACTACCTTGCAGGCAGACATCACGGAGCTTGAAAACATGCCGATCCATGGAACGTCGTCGCAGCACACGGGCTTGCTCCAACGTGAAATCACGGACATCTCAAGCTTCATATTGAAGTCCCTCGCTGAGCTGCAGAAAGAATTGGATGACCCAAAAGCGAGACTCGGTGCGTACGCCTCTGCGATGGGAGATAGAGAAGTCCTAGAGAAGCGCAAGCAAGAAGCGGACCGCCTTCACAAACGTATTGTACAAGCAAGCACGGGCATCGATACTCGCGCGGCCGTCGAGTCGATCAGACGAGGCACGGGTAATATGTTCAGGGCGTCGATAAGAGCCGAACATAATCCTGCGTCGATATGTGTGAAGCTTGATTCTCGGGGGAGCGATGGATTACCAAACACGTGTGAGTCGCGTCTAAAAGCGGCTGTGCTACGGAGAGATAGGAACAAGCAAGTGGGTGCGACAGCAGTGGGACAGGGCGGAGTCGGGAAGACATGTGCTCTACGAGCGATCGCGCACGACGTTGAGATTATGGCAGAGTTCTCGGGAGGAGTGTACTTCATGTTGTTGGGGAAAGATGGAAACGTGGGACGGCTGATTGAAGAACTGTGTCTGATTGTGGAAGCGTCCGGTGGGAACCAGACGGCTGTGGAAATGCGAGAGCAGAGCGAGTTTGAAAGGGTGTTAGCGAAGGTACAAGCGTGGTTTTGTAGTCATGTGTGCCTGTTCATCATTGATGATGTGTGGGTGGTGAATGATATAGACGCGAATATCCTTCAAAAGTTGTCTGTTCTGGCTGAGACTGCGGGGGGCAGCGGGGGAAGGAGGAGCAGACTACTGTACTCCACGAGGGATAAGGAGCTGCGTCAGATTGGGGAGCGGGTTGCTTTCGAGCCGAGGGAGAAGGTAGGGAAAGAAGCAGTTGAGATGCTTGTGCACGCGAGTGAGGCAAATGGAAAGGAAGTGGATGATGCGAGATGCAAGGAAGCCGTGGGTGAAATACTGAAAATGTGTGGCGGATTGCCGCTTGCGCTGAACGTGGCGGGAACGAGCGTGAGGTACATGAGGGAAAGATGGGAGGGAGAAGTAACAGAAGCATGGGGGGCGTACCTTTCGAGGATGAAGAGTCGTAACACGATTCGCGGGGAGAGTCCGAAGGACGGATATTCGTCGTTGGATGGGACATTGCATACGTCTCTAGATATCCTGGAGGCCGATGTGGGAAGGAGTGGGGAGACAGTTGGTGAATTTTCGTTTCGAAAGATGCACCGGAGTCTGTGCGTTATGAAGAAGCAAGACCGAATACCTTTGAGTTTGGTTGGAGATTTGTGGGAGATGGACGAGGAGCGGACGGAAAGGTGTGCAAAGGAGATGGAAAGGGTTGGACTAGTAGAAGTGCAGTATGAGAAGGATTGTGGTGGGTTGCGGGTGCATGATCTGACGCACGATTTCGCGGTGGAAGAAGCGAAGAAGAAGGAGGGTGTAGAAGAGTGGTATAAGAAGATGGCGGATGTGTGCAGGGCAGGAGAAGGGTTGCTTGCGATGAGTGAGGACCGAGACGGAGAGGGGAAGAGCGCACGGGAGGAGTATGTTTTCGAGAATATATATCGTGTCTTGCAACAGGGTGGGTGTGTAGAGGATCTGAAGAGGCTATTTTTGAGTGCGCGATGGGTGAAGACAGTGATGCGGAGAGGCGGGGTTTGGCAATACGAGAAAGCTGTGAAGGGATTGAGTAGAGACTTGAAGGGGAAAAGAGGAAGCGGGAAGGTGGGAATGGGACGGGCAGATGAGGATGCAGTGGATGGAATGGTTTTGATGATGCGGGCGGCGCGACTGAGTGTACCGTTTTGTGGTGAAAACAGTGCCGGGATTTACTTTCAACTATATGGGCGAGTGAAGCACAAGGCACGGGATTCAAGTTGTGTGCGAAAAATGCTGGAGGAAATTGAGAGATACGCACCACGGCCGTGGGTGCGGCCTGTGAGTGAGTGTGTAGCGCGAGCCGATGGAAAGATGGTGGAGCAGATTGTTCTGCCATATTTCAGTACTGAAATTCA